CCCCAAAACCCCAAAACCCCAAAACCCCACTCTTGTATTTAATCCAGAAATCAATACTATTTAAATCCTAATATGAGACACACAGCTCATAAAAATAGCACTTGTGTTGAGCAGGAGGATATTGGCTGTAAGATTTTTCCCTACCAGTATTGTTGGCCTGTTTTCTTGTCCAGTCATTGCCTTTGGAGCATTCTAAGCGAAAAGAGTGTCTTGAACGACTCATGAATCAAAATAATTCTTATTAATTTAAACCAACAATTATTCTTCAAATCTGAAACTAATTTTGTGGTAGGCCTCCTAAATTCTGAGAATTTCAAGAATGCGGTTTTAAGGCGGAAGATGAAGGTCTCTCAGCTCAATAACGTCTCTGAAGAGGTATCGCTGGAGACACCCCAGAAGTGGACTTTTCAGAGTAAGCTCTTTAAATTTCGATGTTCATCATTTGTGAGATCTCCTTTCTACAGATATCAGTTTCTCAATCTGTAACTTATTTGATGAATTTGGGAAATTTTCTAAGAAGTTTACGTCAACTGCATTTTCAATTTTCTAAAATTTTGGCAAGGGATTGTTAGCAACCAATTCCCAAAATTTGGAAAGAATGCCTATGTTATCAGAGTGTCTAATCCAATCCTCTAGCAGCGATAAAGCAAGGGAAGAACCACAAAACTTCTGGTGGGAAGCCTATTTACAATAAGAAAATAACTTTTCACAGAAGGTCTCTGGAGATGAGCTCGCTTCAAGAGAAACTTGACCATTATTATACAAACAACAAGTCGTTAGCATTTGAGGACTGAATGGATTTCAGTGATGATGAAAATATCCAAATGAGCCCTCCCACTAAGAAATGGAACCTTATCCAAAGTATCCCTTAATTTCTAACTTCTAGAGTTTATATGTGGAAAACACGTTCAGAACTTTAGTAACCAGATAGAGGAAATCTCAAGACGTAAGCTTCCATGTAAAATATTTTAGAAATCAAAAACCCAAAAGGCGCTAATGGGAGAAGGAAGAGGTACAGAACTAAGCGAAACCGAGGAAATACAGGGGTTTCTCAGTGTGTGCCTTTCCAAAGTAACCCTCAAACATCTTTCAGTATGATTTTTGGATTATAATTTAGTGATTCCTCATTCAAGTAAATTACAAAAGAATATCAAGTGTCCGGTATTCTCTCCGGTTAGGAAAGGATCGATCGGTGCCCAGGATGATCAAGACTGAAAGAGAGCCCCTTCAGTTATTGATCAAGATCCTGAGTTTCTTGATGGTGAGATAATACCTGATGGCTTGGTTGAGGGTGACAAAAAAGAGCCCAAGCACAAGTCAAAACTCAAGAGCTCCAATTGTATAAACCTATTCGGATCCTTTTGTAGAAGGGCAAGCAAGAAGAAAGCAAAGGAAGTGGTTGAAAACAGCCGGAACTCCTTCATCATGCCTGATATCCATAGCCTAGGTAAGTTTAAACCTAGTATGGCTTCTTCATAAAGTCTTCACAGTAATACTAGTTTGAATGATTAGGCTGTCTTCCCATTAACGCACATAATTTTCCAGGTCTGTTGAAGTCAGCCTGGGTTGGAAAATTGTTGTTCTTATGAAATATTTAGGGCCAGTAAAGCTAACCTCTTCGCATTATTCCCAAGCTGAGAGCCAAGCTAAGCCCAATGGCTTGCAAGGCAACACAATGAGGGAATCATTTGCCAAGAAGTTTGCAGCTAGTATTGATGAAGGATCAATGAGCGAGAGATCCACCAGCGAGGAAGTATATACTACCAAATCCAAACACAGATTCATGAATCAATGAAGTAAGATTTGGAGCTCTTCGACGAACGAAGGTAGGGTTTGTCTTAATCGTCTCTAGACCAAACAAATGGGTCGGACTCAAGTGAGAGGAATATCTTGTTTAAGAACTCTGTGAAGCTCCCGAATCTTACTCCGATTGCTAAAATTTTGAAAAAGACATATATCAGCACCAAGGCTGTCGTTCCTCGTAGCCCCAAAAAGAGTAAAAATCCAAAGAGTAAGGATCAATGGCTTAACATTTAGTGCGTATCAGCAAGAAAGAGGTTAAGAAGAGCAAGAATATTGCTAACATTAGTGTATATCCTGGCAGCAAGCTTTTCAGGAGGTCTGCTTCAATCGTACCTCATGTGTAACATAAGAAACTAAATTAAGGTCTTAATAAATTTGCAAAATTAAAAACTCTTGGCTTTAACTTATTTTAAGCAATCTCTCTGAGCTCTCCCTTGTTTATAAGTCTGGATGCCTTCGGTTCGGAGAAGTATCTTGTGAAGAAGCTCATATCCCCCAAAACTACACATTAAGTGCTAAACCCACTATATTTCCCTCAAATTTTATCCTGAGATGAGTAACTAATCCTTAGGCAAACCTCAGCATCAGTGGTGTTTATCCTCGGTCGACAAGATTCTGGCTCCTTGTGGCCATTTTCATTTTGGGGTAAAATAAACGGTCTAAAATATTCAAACCCTCAACATAGAGCATAAGTTTTGGGGTTTTGGGGTTTTGGGGTTTTGGGGTTTTGGGGTTTTGGGG